ATGCCCCGCGGAGTGGGGGACAGCACTGATGAGTTGCGAGTAGATTTGCAGTGGCTCAGACTTTCGCATCATCTACCGCGCTCTCTCCTTCCTCACTCACACCGCTCCGATAGAAGAAAACAAAGTTAAGACCACTGGGGGCAGGCAGGAACGCAGGGACTGACAAGCCTAAGCAGTCCATCTATGCGCGCCACACACGAGCTGGTCCGTAATGTGTGCGTCAGATCTGTAAGAGCGACTCGGATCATATGGGCATGGGAGTGCCGGAAAGGTCACGGTATGAAGAAGCCATTGCAGCCATTTCCGTGGTAGAACGACTTGCCCCCTCCCCCTAGTTGAAGACGTCCCAAGTCACGACCTTTAACGCGTTGTGATGGCTTCAAGCGCGCCAGATTTGTTATAGTGGGAAATGCGCTGTTGACCCTGAGGATGGACTCAGCACAGTCACGGTCTTTCTCTCTCTCTCTCTTCCCTCTCTCAAGCACCAATCGACTACCTGTGCACGTATCCCAGCAGGCGGTGAGGACAGGCGCGTGTAGCGAGCCAAAGTGACCCTGGTTTTGGTCCAACACACCTGCAGCGCAATCCGTTCTGGGGGCCAGCATGTAGCAGTAAGAGACTTCAAACGTTCGGGCATATCTTGGAGTAAGGTGAGCTTAAACCTGTTGTTTGCCACTCCTAATTGGCTGGTTTGTCACCTTCTGTGAAAAAAAAATAATCATAAGGCCATAAATGCCCACATTAAATGGTCTCCTGATGTCCGTGAACAGTGCCGGAAAGCCCGGATTTCGTTGCACACTGTGGATGTAGTATCTTTAGTACCGCTGATGACACACTGCAGAAATAGGTAAACGGATTTTTTAGAACTACCCAGTATCACAGCTTGCCTCAGCTAGATTTGTCTCCTCCTTTATTCACTGACAAAAATTACTGCCCCTAATGTTTGTCGAAAGACTTCTTGATGACTGATTGCTTGAGGGAAAACAGTGGATCTCAATTTCATTCAAACACCAGGCTCATAGGGCTAAAATATCATCTTACCGAAGGCAAGCAGGTGCATGTTTATTTCAGAAAGCTGTGTAGAAAGGTAAGATTGAAATGGAGTTACCCTTTCCCTGAGATCCCTGCCTGCATTGGTAGGTGTCCGCATTTGATCATCTTCCTCAGAAGCGTTCACCATATTCATTTCCTTGAGCTACAGCGATTCACTTGACGTTTAGGTATCGTCCAAGTAAATGATGAATTTTACAGTGCGCTTAAAGTTGCAGAGCTGACCGTGATAACTTTATGCGAAAACATAGTCGGGATTCACTTCCTCTGTTATGACTCAGTATTTACTCATAATGACGTACAGTGCGTGACCGATATGATGAAATGTTGGCCGAAATTCTGAAATGCGTTTTCGATTAAGAAGGATTACTTAGGTGGGGTTGTAATGCTGCTTATCAAGCGACATACGCCCATGGTATTTCGGACTCGCCAGGATGTCGGGCTTTGAATGCACTTCATTCCGACCTCCGATAGAAGCCACACTCGGTAAAAAAATGACTACTTAAGTAGCATGTATTTTTCACATTGATTTTCGATGGTCTTATAAATTAAAGTATTTTTAATGGAAAACACGCGCAAAATATGCTTTATTTTACTTGTTTGGTAGAAAATAACATTGTTTTGCATTTTATACCCAAAGAAAGCGCATGTTTAGGTTCTGAAAAAGTTTCCCAATTCCCCAATATTTTTGGGCCAGATCAGTTGCTGCATTACCATTTAGCGATTCCATTCTACAAGATGCGTGCTTTCCGCACAGGAAAAATCATATATTGCTCTATGCCTTCAAGAAGAGGCCGTGTTGATTTCATGACATTTTGCAATGGACGATGTTATTTTCTACCAAACAAGTAAAATAAAGCGTATTTTGCGCGTGTTTTCCATTAAAAACACTTTAATTTATAAGACCATCGAAAATCAATGTGAAAAATACATGCTACTTAAGTTGTCATTTTTTACCGAGTGTGGCTTCTATCGGAGGTCGGAATGAGGTGCATTCAAAACCCGACATCCTAGCGAGTCCGAAATACCATGGGAATATGTTGCTTGATAAGCAACATTAGAACCCCACCTAAGTAATCCTTCCTAATCGAAAACGCATTTCAGAATTTCGGCCAACATTTTATCAGAACGGTCACGCACTGTATGTTTAAACGGGCCAGGTTCAGTACTTAGGCGATTCGTGGCTTAGTAAAAAAATACGCAGTGTTAAAATGTACGCCTTAATATGGAATGGGGTACGGACGCAGTATGCGATCTCCCAGTCAGGAAACAAAAACCAGATCGTCAGGGCATACCGCGTCCTCACCTTTTTTAACTTGACGCATCTGCGCTCTCGTAAATAGATGGAGTGTAAGCCACTTCTTTTCTGAAAATAAAAGTGAAAAAACTGCGAAAAATGCTTATTTTTCGCTTGCACTGTAAGATGTCTTGGTACGCCCATCATTCCTCCGGGATCGGGTTCCTGGTACGTGTGCTCATTTGCAAGTAGGTGTAGAGAAATTTAGCGAGAGGATGTAATATGCCATCCCAACACTTATCCAAAGGCTTACCTACTATTGTGCATCCCTTTCCACCGGTTAGCCCCACCCATAAAACCGTATTACACGATGGCCTGGCGTTTGTTCCCCGAGTGAGGTCGCATACTGCTTCCTTGCCTGGAATGTCGTTAGTGAGGGTTGGTTCCGCTGGTACAGTTCTCGCAGGCACTATGAACAGCAGCTTTTTAATTTCCTCAGAAATGACTCGCTGATTTGGAGTCAATCATTTTGTTTGAGACTTACAGTGAGTGACCGATCTCATGAAATGTTTGTCGAAATTCTGAAATGCGTTTTCGATTAGGAAGGATTACTTAGGTGGATTTGTAATACTGATTATCTTGCGGCATAAACCTATAGTATTTCGGACTGGGCAGGATGTCAGCTTTTGAATACACTGCTCCTGTAGAAACCGAACTTGGTGAAAAATGACTACTTAAGTAGCATGCAATTTTCTCATCGGTTTTCGATGGTCTTATAAATTCAAATATATTTTATGGAAACCACGAACAAAAATATGCTTTCTTCCAGTCGTTTGATGAAGAGTCACGTCATCTTTCTATTTTATACTCGAAAAAGGAGTATAATTGGATTTTAAAAAAGTTCTCTAACTGCCGAATAATTTGGAGCCTGATCAGCCGTTGCATTAGCGCCTAGCGATTTCAGTCTGCAAGTTGCATGCGTTCCGCGTAAGGCGAATCATATATTCTTCCGTGCCTTTAAGAAGATGCCATATTGAGTCCAGAAAATTTTGCAATGGATGCGGACTATGTTGGGCATTTCATGAGGAGTAGTGGTAAACGGACAGGTACAATGCTGTATGAATTGACATTGCGCTGCCTTAAAAAATCCCATAATTGGAAACTTTTTGAAAACCTAATTTTACTCTTTTTCGAGTACAAAATATGAATTTGGCGTGATTTTCTATCAAACGAGTGGAAGAAATAATATTTTTGCCTGTGTTTTTTATAAAATATATTTATAGTTATATGACTACCGAAAATCACTGTGAAAAATGCATGCTACTTAAGTGGTCATTTTTTACCGAGCACGCTTTCTACAGGAGCTTGAAAAGAAGTGCATTTAAAAGCCGACATCCTGCCGAGTCCGAAATATTATAGGCTTATCCGACAATATAATCAATATTATAACCCCACCCAAGTAAATCATCCTAATCGAAAACGCATTTCGGAATTTCGGCCTACATTTCATGAGATCGGTCACTCACTGTACATGCTCCGACCGAAATTTTATATGAATATTTGAACCAAAATTCATCAGCCACAACGGAATAACAGCGTAATTTTTATAAACCATCAACAAGCTGCCAGTAGTATACGCATACGCAACGTGACATACCAGACTTGGCAGCTTAGGTGTTTTGCTGATATTCTGCTGACCCATGACACGGCTGTGAGGGATTCGGCTCATCAGTGGGTCCCCAGTGAACTCTGCAATTTAAAAGCCGGAGTATCTACCAGAAGAACACCCGGAGAACGCTGGGGCACCCATTGATGAGCCGAATTCCTTGCAGTCGTGTCATGAATAGCACCTGTGTTGCGGTGCATGGCATGTCGCACTGCCTACGATTATAAGCAGCATTCAGAAATGACGGTTGAGTGGTGTCGAGCGTGCAAATGATTGATTTCAGGGAGTGCCCATATTTCAGTCTAACCGGCGGCAGCCTATGTCAGAGAGCCGCAGAAAAAGATAATGGGGATTTACTTCTACTGCTATCGTACAAAAGTTAATTCCAGTGAAGCAGAGGCAGGACTTAATAGTTACAAGATTTGTGGCTTGGTGGAAAATACACAGTTTAGACATTTGTGCGTTAATGTTGGGTGATGTTATTGAGGGGGAAGGGGGTTGGTTCTGCTGGCGCCGTTCTCGCAGGCACTACGGACAGCAGTCAACAATGGCGTTGGATTGGCGCTGGGAGTTGCTGCGTTCCGAGATACTATGCAGTATGGGGGTTGATTTCAGGTTAGGGGAGGTTATATCTCGTTCTAGTCTAACGGCGTAGCGGAGCCCTTCGTTCTGGCCTGATTACGATACGGCATACAGCCAAACGGTTTTGCCTAGGAACGGAAACTGAGAGAGCCCAAAACTAGAGACGAGCTTGAATGCCGCAGTGCGTCCCACAGTCCTGATAGCTTCGCCAAGATTCCTTCCTTTTCAGTCTTCTTCAGCCTGGAAAGGAGAAGAAGTCGTATTACTGCCTAGAGCCTTACTAACCAACTTATTAAAAGGCCTCCAAAGCTATTTATTTAAATATACAGGCTTTTAATGGCAACATCGCTAGAAAATTTAGCTCGAATTTAAGCTTCTGAAACTGCAGGTAGCTTCCTGTTCTGTAACTTCCTTTGAACCGAGTTGATGGTAGAACAACATCGTCATACCCGTTCGCAGGGCGCACTAAAACTGCTGCTGCTGCTGCTGCTGCTGCTGCTGCTGCTGCTGCTGCTGCTGCTGCTGCTGCTGCTGCTGCTGCTGCTGCTGCTGCTGCTGCTGCTGCTGCTGCTGCTGCTGCTGCTGCTGCTGCTGCTGCTGCTGCTGCTGCTGCTGCTGCTGCTGCTGCTGCTGATGCTGATGCTGATGCTGCGAGAATGGATGGTGCAGATAGATGAAATACTTGGAATCAGGTGGGCAAACCAGGCGTCAGCCATTAAATTTAATGCAGAAGCTCTTTACAATCATGCAGGTCATACCCAAAGGAATTATAACTACTGAATAGATGTGCATAAACTGGCCGTACCAAACGACCATCCTTTTTTTCGATATCGCCGTCCACCTGGTGAAGTCGGCCATAAATTTCACTTCGTGGCCACGAGATCAGGTAACAAGAGGGAGAAATGACAGCTTTAGGAATGAACGTGGCTGCGAGATCTCGGACAGCATGGACTTGAATAGCAATTTGTGGTTTATTTGCTATCCTCAATCACACATAACCGAACCCGGGGTTTCAGGGTCTTGGATTCAAATTGCAGACCTTTGGTCGATGATCATTAAGTATATACAGCAGAATTTATTGGGGCCAATAAATTTCGTGACGGCTTATCAAGTGCAGCCCGTCTCTGCATAACATTCCGTCTCCCTCTTTCCTATATGATGCTTATGGAAAGGTCTTTCATCTGATTATTCACTGCCTTGAACATTGACCTTGCTCTTATGCACTGACATTCTGTACAAATTCGTACTGCTGTGCACTTGCACTCGTTACCTATGTTATGCAGAGACGGGCTGCACTCGATAAGCCGTCACGAAATTAATTTGGCCTCAATAATTTCTGCCGTGCATGCCTGTTTCAATTAGGGATTTGTTAGTTTTTACTATGCCGATTCGTTGAACGCTGGAGTGGTCGACGCCTCCTAAAACGGACCACGCCAGGTCAGGGCACGGCAGGCGTTATTGGTGATGCACACCCGTGACAAGTGGAAGTGTACTGGCACGCCTAGGTGCAGGTCTGCGCCGATCTAGACGCCTGCACCCGATCTCACCTCCGGTCTTATTGACTCTATTTTGACACTGACCCCAGGTGGATTTGGTGAAGGGAGTGCGGCGGATGCAGCGAAAGTCTGTTATCACTACAAACTAATCCACGCGCAAATCACCGTCTCTGCGCCCCCCACCCTCCTCCTGCTGTGGGGTGCACGGTGGACACAGTCGGAGTTGATGGTCGAACTGTCATAATGGGTTGTCGCGTTCAAGGGCCACAGGGTGGTCTGGAGGTTGATTTCGGAGGGCAGAGGAGGTTGCTCTTACTCCACTTTAACGCAGAAAATTAAATGAAGAAAAAAGATGGCCGAGCACCGGAAAACTTGGTTTATTGTTATGAGCTTTCGAACTCGTGCAGGGGTCCATCGTCGGTGGTAGTAGCAGCAACAGAACAAGGGACAGTTGTAGAGTGTGCAAGCCAATCATCGACCGACGGCGCAAGACTGGAGGTGACTGCGCCAGATCGATAAATCGATCGACCGAGTTCTCATCCGAGGCCCAGGCTTCTCGGCTTGTTTCGTTTAGTGCGTGGGCGACTATGCTGGCCGCTGCAAAGTTAAACTCATGCCACTTGTGATAATGCGCCGCCTCGTAGCACAGCCAGCTTTTGTCCGGGTATGCGTCATCCGAGTTTGCGTCCAGTCTGGCCTGTGTAGTTACAAGGAACGTTCTGGCACATGTGGCCATACACTACTCCCGATTGCTCCTCAGACTTTAATCGGCCTTCAATTTTCATGATCCTACTGCGCATGGTAGATTTGGGACAGTATGCAATTCCAACACCTAGCTCCTCAGCAATGTGTCCAGCTGCTTCTGAAACGTCCTTCATGTACGGCTGAGAATTCCATATCGCTGTTGGTGTTTATGTTTGGGTCCTCTGGGGGCGACCGCGTAGGCAGCGACTTATGAATGCCTTCGGATAGCCATTTTGCACAAACTGGTCGCGGAGGCTCTGCGTTTTTGCAGCCGTGCATGCAGTAGTGCGGTTAGCGTTAAAACCGTCATTTACCCCTCACGAGCCCTACTCGCAATCCTGAATGAATTGCGCAACCTGTCCGCTGTGCTGTGGTCAGTTTCACTTCATAAAATGGTGACTACCAGGCTTCAGTAAACTACCTTACTCCCTGAGAGAAGAATATGCCTTTTTTGAGAGCAATATTGCACAATTTTCTGCCTCAGTGGTCAGATCTCCCACAAATACAACGGCATAAAATTTTCAATCCAGCAAACACTTAAATAAGACATTTGCGCTGGCCTGGGAGACTAAGCGCGTGCGTGTTCCTTCGTAGTCTACACTGTATCCGCTTCCTCGGCTAACGATCCCCTAAATAAAAGTGGGCTCTGATGTCCAGGACTGCGGATTCTATCTCGTACATAATTGCGCCCGTGTGGAATTTACACTGGCTGTCGTCCACCTCCGCGCACTCCCTCGCCCACCACCCAGAGGTGCACTTGGCCGACATACTGCGTCGGACAGCGTCTGCATGCACACCCGTAGGCACGTCTAGGTTCAACCAGCAGCTCTGCGGGTGATAAATGCGACACAGTTTCTCCGCGTGTGGGTGCGCTCTCCAACTGTCGCGGAGGAAGGGGCGGGGGAAGAGGACAAGGGAAAAACAGCAGCAGCAGCAGCAGCACCGTACAGTCAGGTAGAAAACAGTGCCGACGCAGGACACGAGTACTGGGGTGTGTGCGCGTGATGGCTGCGAACACCTGCTCCGGCCTGCCACCGGCACGCGCGCGTACGGACGCCCGACAGCCAATCAGGGCCTCGCGCGCTCCTCCACTGCCCACACCGAGGTTCGGCAGCCTGCTCCCGGGCGAACAAGTGTTGCTGTCAGTCAAGACCTCCTGTCCCCCCTGCCGTCGGCCACCGCCATCGCTTTTTCTGCAGGCTGTGGCTCGCGCGTAGCGGCAGCAGCCAGCTTCCTAGCAGTAGATCGTCCAGCGCGAACACACACGTACTTCAGCAACAGGTGACGCTCAAGCACATGTTATGTGCGTGTGTGTGTGTCGAGGGCGGCAAAAAAGGGGTGGAGGGGGGGGGACAACTACGGTGATTAGACGACGTGGAGAAGGATGGTGATAACGACGATGATTATGGTGATTGGAGCATCAGTTCTTTATCCTTCTCCCGGTAACAACAGCTGCCCACTGCCTCCAGGGCGTGCCGAGCGGCAAAATAATCTGTCTCGAAGACTACAGGTGCTTGCTTAGTACCCACCTCAAGGCGGACAGTTGTCCCTTCTACTTGTGTGTCACTGGCCGTTCTGACCTTGTTGACGGGCCGGCAATGGTTAAGGGCATGCCGCAGCGACTTGCGACCCGACAACACAGAGAGCAACGCCGGAGAAATGTCGGTAAGGGTAGGGTATGTAACCGCCCTGGGTGGTTGGGCAAATACATACCTTCTCATCCCACTCATTTAGATGTGATTATTGCCGGTATACATGGCACTGGGTTGCGAAAAAGGTTATGCGGGAAGAGGATCCCGACCTCCAGCAGCGTTATGGACATTAGATTTACCCGTGGCTAGTTCGCAGTTGGCAGCCAGGAATGGGAAAGCGGACGGCGATCTTAACTCTAGTCCTAACCTTAGCCCTAACCTCAACCGTAAACGTTAACCGTTAACCCTAACGGCAGCCCTAATCGAAATCGTAAACGTAACCGTAGCCCTTAGACATAGCCGTAACTAAGAAAAACCCAACCGTAATACTGAAACCTAATCGTACGCTCAAACCCTAACCGTAATCTGAAAACCTAAACCTAAAGGCATAACCTTAACCCGAAAATCGGAAACCATTAACCGGTACCCTAGTCCTAACCTCAAACGTAAAACGGAAGCCAAATGGGTCAGATGTGATTATGGAGCCCCACAAAATAGCCCCAGTAAGCAACCCCCCCCCCCCCGCCACCTGTAATACGGGTCCTGGCTCCCATTTTGCCCTTTTTGGGCTGAAGGTTAGGGTTTTGGCAGCGGTTATAACCGGCGTTAGTAGAGTTCTTCTTGGAACCAGGGTTGTCAAGCCTAGGCTGGGGTTTGAATTTGGAGTAGTGGTGTATAACGGTTTGCGGTGGATTTTAATCACACTGTACAGTGCGTGACCTATCTCATGAAATGTTGGCTGAAATTCTGAAATGCGTTTTCGTTTAGGAAGGATTACTTGGTCGCGGTTGTGACACTGATTATCTTAAGGCATACTCTTATAACATTTTGGACTCGGCAGGATGTCGGCTTTTAAATGCACTTCTGTTCAATCTCCTTTAGATAGCGTGCTCGGTAACAAATGACTACTTAAGTAGCATGCATTTTTCCCATTGATTTTCGATGGTCTTGGAAATTCAAATATATTTTATAGAAACCACAAACACAAATATGCTTTCTTTTAGTCAATCAATAGAGAATCACGTCTTCTTTATAGTTTATACATAAAGAAGGCGTATAATTAGGTTTTAAAAAAGTTTTCTAATTGCCGAAAAATTTGCAGCCTGATCATTCGTTACATTAGCGCTTAGTGATTACACTCTACAAGGTGCATGCGTTCCGCGTAAATAAAATCCCATATTTTTCTATGTCATTAAAGAGATATCATACAGGGTCCATAAAATTTTGCAATGGATGCGGACCATGTTGTACATTTCATGAGGAGCAGTGGTAAACGGACAGGTACGATGCTATGTGAATGGACATTTCGCGGACTTAAAAAGTCTCACAATTAGAAACTTTTTTAAAACCTAATTATACTCCTTTCTTAAGTATAAAATATAAAGAAGAGGTGATTCTCTATTGATTGACTAAAAGAAAGCATATTTGTGTTTGTGGTTTCTATAAAATATATTTGAATTTCCAAGACCATCGAAAATCAATGGGAAAAATGCATGCTACTTAAGTAGTCATTTGTTACCGAGCACGCTATCTAAAGGAGATTGAACAGAAGTGCATTTAAAAGCCGACATCCTGCCGAGTCCAAAATGTTATAAGAGTATGCCTTAAGATAATCAGTGTCACAACCGCGACCAAGTAATCCTTCCTAAACGAAAACGCATTTCAGAATTTCAGCCAACATTTCCTGAGATAGGTCACGCACTGTATACTTTAGGAGCAACAATAATAAATGCATTCCTCATAACGCCTGCCGGACAGCGATACGGCCCCCGTGTTGGTCCAACATATATACCGCGTGTGAGCACATCGGAGGAGAGATTGTGAGAATTTAGAAAATTTAAGTTCTTTTAATCTTTGGCTGTTTGATTTCTAGGAAGTTGAGTCAGCTATCTCCGGGTTCGGTTTTGGTGGGCTGAACTTATCCTACGCGTTCCAGACAAATTCCCGTATCTTATTATCTATGCGCACAATTATACGTGTGCAGCGATTCTGGAAGAACCTAGATAAACGGCGAAACCGCAAGGTGCGCTTCAAGGGGCACAGTAAGAAACTGTCTAAATGAATAGATATTCCGCACGCAAGAGGCCTTGCGCAAAAATGTAGGGGAAATCAGGTTTTGTGTTAGGATTTAGGTTAGGAGATTTGGGGTGAAAGTTGTGATGGCTATTGTTGGAGTTGGGATCAGACATAGAACACGGGTATGGTTGCGCCCTGGAATTTACCACAAAGCCGCCTGTAGTGCGGGGGAAGTCCATATTCCCGTGTCTGACAGTTTCGCGACGAATTCTTTTCACTGTGACTGGTGTGCGCAGCTGGAAATAAGAACCACCCAAAGTCGGTCAGTTACTGAGAATTTGCACCCTTCCATAGTAGTAGTAGTAGTAGTAGTAGTAGTAGTAGTAGTAGTAGTAGTAGTAGTAGTAGTAGTAGTAGTAGTAGTAGTAGTAGTAGTAGTAGTAGTAGTAGTAGTAGTAGTAGTAGTAGTAGTAGTAGTAGTAGTAGTAGTAGTAGTAGTAGTAGTAGTAGTGTCAGAATACGATGAATGGTCCCCTTTGCACAGGAGCATATTTATAAAGCCATCGCTTCCTATTGAGTATCTCATCAGACGATGAAGCTGTCATCGTCATGACGCCCACCGTGGCCTTTACAACGGCTTGCTTGCCATGACAACAGCAACTCATTAGTCAGCGGTTCAAACAGATAACGAAGGTTGGTTTTGACAGTATGTCTAGACTGCTCAAAATATGAGAAAAAAAATACCGTCCTCTCGCCCGCCCAACCCCCCGACCGCCCAACAGGAAGCACACTAATGCGGCCGAATTTCTTCTGGCCTAACAAACTCATTTGACTGAAAATAATCTGTCGACACATCGGTCGCCTGGGAGAATCTCTCGTCGGTTCGACCATCGATTTCGACGATATCCACCGCGTGCTCCACAGTGGGATGAAAGCAGGGACGGTGACTTGCGCCTGGGTCCGGTGTCAAGACCGGAGGTGGAAGAAGCCACAGGTGGTCGGCACAGTGAAACGCTCACCACCACAACCCCTGGTCCAGGATTTTGTGTTGCAACAAAAAATAGAGGCGGCACGGATCCCAGTAAGCACGACGTGCGCCCGTAACTGGGTCTGCAACCGCACCCCGAGATGTTGGTTTTTGTTATGGGTTCGTATTCCTCAGAACACCCACCAGACACCAATGTGGCCTTCGTGTTGGTCCGGCGTATCTACCGCGTGTCTCGTTTTAGGGGGCGGATCCCGAAATTACCACATTAACAGCGCAGACTACTCACATTTTTATTGAAGAGGATGACTAAGACAAAGGTCTGAAATACTGCGGGACCTTCCTATTAACTGCACGAATTGACAGTGACGAAGATGAGCAGGAGTTCGAAGGAAGAGATGAATGGTTGGGTCAGCAGAACAGATATGACCATTTTCGGACACTCTGAAATCATGTCCGAGTCTGTCAAATGAGAACCAAAATTCGGTCAAATTTTCGGCGCCTCCGCGAAGACGGTCATGCAAGACGCCAGACCTGCCAATGACTGGACTGGATGAATTCGGTCTACGTGATATCGGTTCGAACGTCGCGAGTAAAGATGGCCACTGTGTACCCCACGGAGCGGGCTCAGTACCGATTACCTGCGTACGAATTAGTTTATAGTGGGGAGGACTTACGAAGCACCTACCGCACTCTCCCACCTCCCTCACCCAGCAGACTCCGATGTCAAGACATAGTCAAGATTAAACCTTCTTCTTTGCATGAATTGCTTTCTAACATAGGAATCTTCGCTGCCCTACGCGCAGGGCAAATCTCGTAGACCTAGATGCGTGTGTCGTTAGGATGACCTTGTGAGGCTGCAGGTTTCACAACTGTCCGCTTTCTCTCCCGACCTTGACGGCCGCTAGCAGTCGGCCCCTTGTATGTCATCTGTCGGAAGCCCCCTGTCCTAGCTTGTCCTCTTTAATTGAGTTCAACTTGGGTTGGACAGAGATGTCCAGTCCACGACAGGCATCGGGCGGAGGGGGGAGGAGGGGGGAAGTAAGGGAGAATAAAAATCGGTGACAGTTGTGTGAAGCAGTACCTACTGCTCCCATCAGCACTGCGATTAACGTGACCCACACTCAGGCTAGAAGTTCCGTGGGGGAAAAGAAAACAGGGTATCCCGTACTAGCATCTGATCGACTTACACATAAGAACAAAACTCTGGCTGTTAAATTTGGCTCACGCGCACGACTGCCTTCCTTGACTTTAAGCTTCAGGTAAATGCAACTGGAGTATCAACAAATACTCGCAGGTGCCGCGTCCAACGCTGGAAATTGAGTTAATAGCTGTATTTATTATATTCTTATAATAGTGTGCGGTCGGTTTTACTTTAAAACTAGTCGTGTTAGCATCGCTAGTAGTACTGGTAGCGGCAGCAACAACAACAACATCAGTAGTAGTAGTAGTAGTAGTAGTAGTAGTAGTAGTAGTAGTAGTAGTAGTAGTAGTAGTAGTAGTAGTAGTAGTAGTAGCTACGCCAGTAGTAGCAGCAACAGTAATAATAATAATGATACCACCTGTGACATCGGTGACGGCTAACCAAATGTTGACGGCATTCGACAGCAAGGAAGGCGGTCTTGAGTCAAATGGGAACTCGTAGCTACTAGTTGAGATCTGACACGAGAGGTCCTTCATTATCGCAATTTGATTTATCCTTCTAGGAGTTACGAGACTCGGTAGTTACGCCATCCATGTGATGGTCCGAGCGACTTACAACTACCCCCCAAAACTAGTTCTCCATACCACCCATAATACGGGTGGACTTAGATCCTGTCATTTCTCTACTCCTCTTCACTTGGAATTTCTACAAATTAAGCACTGTTAGCCGATAGCCAGCTGATACCCACCGTCATATTTCCTCTCATATTCACGCTGAAGCAATTTTAAACAGGCGTAGAACAATACCACATTAGATTCGACGTTTACTCCTGCCTTCTGCTTCTCAACCGTAGACCTGGCGTTTTTGTTTAGTACATTCTTATTCCCACCTCCTTTTGCCTTCTCATAATATCCTGGTTTTTTAAAAGAAAACGAAATAATATTTAGTGATATAGGGGGGCGCTCACCGATCGCGATATTGGACACACACACACGTCTCGCTTTGTGCCCTAATACTCAATCTCGAGCCCGGCCAGCAGTCGCGCAACAGCTAGTAATCTAGACAGAATAACATTACCGACAAAAACTAGAGAGACTGAAATTGCCATTTCTACTGGCTTATTAGTCATCATCATCACCAGCCAGCCATAACCAGCCCCAGGTTCTGATACCCCTGAGTCCCGATCTGGCGACCTGTTGGTCAGAAGCCCAACGCCTTAACTGCTGCATATTAAAACACGAGAAAATCTGCCTCTCTCTCTCTCTCTCTCTCTCGCCAACTCCTCTCTTCAACGCATCCAGACGCCGGTGATAAGGCAACAGCGTTCGACAAAGTGTCTGAAGTGTCCTCGAAGGTTCCGACTTCGTGAATCGCTCTCACATAAGACACTAATTAAGAACTCAGCTTATGCCAGGCATGCCGGTACTGACGCCTTATTGACTCTGAGTAACAGACAGCACTAGGGCTGGGTGCTGACAAGCCAGTCTAATCTTTGATTTGAAAAGTCAAGTTGGCAAACACGTGTTTTCGGTAATTCTTCGTCAGGCCAATACAATTACATGAAGGAATGAAAATGTACAAAACCAACAGTGTTTATAGATGACTCAAGGGCTAGTAAGTCATTAACACTCATCATCCCCACGCCGCCTGCATGACAAGGTCGGTGGGTGTTGGTCCTCAGAGCTAGGGGAGGGGGTAAGGGAGCCTTTGAGTGATGTTCTTGGATTGAGTACACGGAGTACTCATCACTGTAATTAGGGATTTAAGACGGCATGTCGTCATCACTTGGGATTGGCGTTGGCCACGGCAGAGAGAGCGCGTGTGTCAGGAGTTTCTGGCAGCGTAACACCGGATTCGCTGGCCGTATAGCTACTGCCTCGGCCGTTGGTAGTATCCGTTGGCGTGGGCCTTTAGAGAAGCATGTTGGTGTCCGGTAGACAATCTGAAATGCTTCCTTGGCATCGACTTGGTGATTCGTATCGACTAAATGTGCGAGAATAGAACTCGAAATCGACCGGGTCTCACCTCTGTCTAGCTAGGCGGGCATATGTTCACACACCCTCTTTTCCAGGCGTCTCGTTGTGCGGCCGATGTATCCTGCTCCACAGGAGCAAGTGAATGAGTAAATGCACATTCATGTGGCCTCCAACGGTAGTCTGTCTTTACCCCCCAAACGTAGGAGGAGAGAGTTTGTGAAGCATACGCGTAAATTCGCCGCGGGAATGCCCTCGTGATAGCTGTAGTTAAGCGTCGTCTGACTAGTTCGCTCTCTGCGTCTCCTGCAAAAGGCAATTTTGTGAATACATCTTTCTTTTCCGCAGTCGCAACAGTGGGCTTTTTGGCGCGTCCCCAATATTTCGGAGGATAAATCGATCTGGGTATCCGTTCTCCCGAAGTGTGTTCCGCAGCTGTTGGAGTTCTTCTTCAATAGCTTCAGGTGAGCAGATGCGTCTCACTCTAGCCGCCAATCCCTGGAGTAAATTTCGTTTGATGTTTAGGGGAACAAAACTACGGAAATTAACGTATTGTCCCGTCTAGGTTTTCTTTCGGAACACCCTGCGCTGGATAGACCCATCCTCTTGCCTGCACAGAAGGACATCGAGAAAGGCAAGTTCGTTATCTGCCTCGGCCTCTGCGGTGAACTTTAGCGAGGGGTGCGCACTGTTGAACTTTTGGACAAGCTCCTCGGTATCAGTGGTACCATCCGCCAGACAGAAGATATCATCCACGTACCGACTGTAGAAGACGAGGCCACTAATGGTCTCTTGCAATCTTGTTTTCTCTACTTTGCCCATAATCTCTGATTGCTTGAGACCAGCCTCTTCTCTCTATTTTTCACAGGCCCTCTAGGGGAACCTTTCCTAATGCCAGTTCGAGTGCAGGTGGGCTCTTAAAGGAAAGCTCCTAAAGAGCATCTGTTGAAAGAACGGAAGATCTCGAAGTGGTTGTCTGCGCTAAGAATGCAAAGGACTTAGTACTATCATCGTTTTGTTCCTTGTGCGCCTTCCCAGTCAAAACGTATGCAGGAATTCCAACAGTCTGGAATCTCCGTCCTATTTTAGCAAAACCACCAACCTTCAGATCTGGTCGCCTTCAAACTGGTTCAACACTGAACGATCCGTGTTCCCAGAACGCTTTGTCCCTGACAGCTAAGCTGAGGATACATTCTTCTGGGGTAATCGTCCAGAAGACAACACATGGCTACTGTCTCTATCCCCATCTCCCTCCCCCCTTCCACCGGAGAGAACAAAAGATACAACAACCACTTCCTGACCGTCAGTTTCCAGAAGGAACACCGCACTAAGCATAAATGCCTACGTCTCCACGGTGACTGATCGGGAGAATGTGAAGGACAAATTCTACAAAGACCTCCACTTCCTGCGTACACTTGTCCCGAAATCGGATAACTTCCTCTGTTCTAGAGAATTCAATGCGTGAATATGCCCGTCTAACGTCGTCTGTGGAGTAGAGATCAGACGTCCGGTTGTCCGTGACCTGTAAAAGCCAAGGAACAGCTTTAGACGCAACTGGCCCTTGCGAGACAACCCATTGGCAACCTGAGCGCTGTTCGGAAGGATTTGCCAAGGTTAACCGACTCCCGAGCACATCCTAAGGCAGCTTAGATGATTTCGCGTCCCCTCTGGAACCAGCTCTACCACACCCGCGTGCGTTCTGAACTGCGTCCACATCAGAGAGGAGTTAGGACTACGACTGGACCTGTTAGAAACCTTTGAAGAGACGCCAGAATCTGAAATCAGAACGCCCCACCCCTCGCCCAAATTACCCAGTCAATCTTATAAATATCATCGTTCAATATCTTGGATGTGACAGTTCAACCGTCACAGTCGACTACGTCCACCCTGTGACCTACAAAATGGGCGCAGCGTTGGGTAATTAGTTTATAGTATGGAGTACCTGCGCGGCATCTATGCATCCTCTATCGCCCTCCCCCCCCCCACCCCACCGATGGCAAGATAATGCTAAGATGACCGGAGGTGGGGGGGGGGGAGTGCAGTGGCTGACGAAGTTAAATAGTCCGTCCGCGTGTACCACACACGACCTGGTGCCCACTCCCGATGTGGCAGGTTTCCGTAGAGGTGGCTCAGGTCTCACCTGTGTGGGAGCGTCATAAAGGCCACAGTAAAAAGGATCCATTAGAGCCTGACCCCCTGTTCGGATAAGGACCGAGTTATCACGTGAGTCGGCAACCTTCCAAGCCGGGCCTTTCAGCGCGCCATGATATATTCAGGGGCGTTAGAGGAATGCGTCTCGATGTGCCGTGGGGATAGATTCCCCAATGTCGATCTCACTCGTTCTTCCCTCTCACCTCCACCAGCCGCAACTGCTCAAATCTGTCAAGCA